TCCGAAGCAATCTAGGAATAGAGACAGTGTCAAACGCTTTGGCGAGATCTAAGAATACTGCTAAACATTTATTTCGAATATCCAAATTTTGCGTGACATGTTGAACCAGATCCTCAATCGCATCCGAAGTAGATAGCTTCTGTCTAAAACCATACTGGTTTGAGGAAAAAAGGAATTTGCTTCGAGATAATTTGTTAATCTTGTATTGATAGCTTTTTCAATTATCTTGCCAAGAGTGGGAAGAAGAGAGATTGGTCTATAATTAGTGACACTGTCTCTATTTCCAGATTTGTAAACGGGTACGACAATTGACTTTTTTAGAGCCTTTGGAAAAATGCCAGTTGATAGGCACAAGTTGCATAAGTAAGAGATTGGTTCCGCGAGGAAATCTATACCTTGTTTAATGAAGATTGAAGATATCCTTTTTTTTTTTTTTTTTTTTTTTTACGTGTGGAAATCCCCTCGGACCGTCACCCCCCCGGGGTTTGCGGCGGGGTGGTGTGTCGGACTCGGACCGACTAAAACCACACGGTGTGCCACTCTGCGCCTGTAACAGGCGGGATCCGGGAACAGCTGTTGTTAAGACATCCGGACCCCTCCTAGCGCCAGCCCGCTCCTGGTGCGGGCTCCGTCTCAATGTATTTTCCTCTCTTTAGGCGACGTCCGGCACACGCGGACGCCGCCCCCTCGCGGCTGGCCAACTAATGCGGGTGAAGGGGAAACCCACCCCGTCCACCCGCGGCCACACTCAGGGCGGCATGAGGCTGTGGTAGGCGGGCCTCCGCCGCCCGGTTCGCCGGCGGCGGATCGGGTCCGAGTGGAGGTCGTCCTCCCGGGCCCTCTCCGCCGCCTCCTTCCGCGAGATTACTACCTCGCAGAAGGTTGCGACCGCGGTAAAACAACTGTCGCTACCGGCCATGGAGCGTACTACGGCCGGTAGCGAGAGATCCACTCCGATGACTGCAGTGAGGGCCCGGCGCTGCGCCGCCCATGCGGGGCAGACCGCCAGCGTGTGCTGGGCCGAGTCCTCACTGCAGTCGCAGTGGTGGCAGGCGGGACTCAGTTCCCTCCTAGCGACCGTGTGCAGGTACTTTCCGAAGGCAACCGTGCCCGGAAAGCACCTGCGTCAGTCGGAAGGAAAGGGTCCCGTGCTGCCGCCCTGCCCACTCGGCGATGACCGGCTGGAGAGCCTCCACGGCGGCGAAGCCAGCGCGTGGAGTCTCCAGCCGGAACGACCAACGAGCCATCGTGGCTCGGCGAGCGGCTTCGCGCCACTCGCGCACATCCTCGGGCGGAGGGCGGAAATCCGCTCTCCGCCCGGGAGTCAGCCACTCGCCGATAAACCTCGGCGAGCACTTCCGCCTCCAAATCCCACGGGGGAGTTCCGGCCAACGCGCACGCCACCTCCGTAGAAACGGTGCGGTAACCGCGTATGGCTCTGACCGCCATTACCCTCTGAGGGCGCCAGAGGCGTACCCTATTCTGGGCGGTCAGAGCCGCCGCCCACACCGGTGCACCGTACAGTGCCATTGACCGGACAACCCCCGTGTACAGCCGTCTTGTCGCGACGCTGGGTCCACCCATATTGGGCAAGAGTCGCCCTAGGGCAGACGCAGCGCCGACCAGCTTTGGAGCAAGCTGTCGGAAGTGCTCGTCGAAGAGCCACCTCCCGTCGAGGATCAGGCCCAGATATTTCATCTGGGCCCGAACCGGTACGAGGACCGAGTTGACCACGATTGAGGCGCCAGGGGGTGGACCACGACGAGGCCCATGGAATAACAGGGCCTCCGTCTTATCTAGGGCCACCCGTAAGCCCAGCGCCTCAATGCGCCCGACCACCAGGGAGACTCCCCCTGTGGCCAGGCGCGCCGCCTCTTGGAAGTTTTGCCCCCCGGGCTGTCACGAGGGTATCGTCCTGCGTAAACAGATTACACCCAGCCCGGGGGGGAAATCGGCGCGAAGGGCCCAGTCGTACCCTATGTTCCACAAGAGGGGTCCAAGAACAGACCCCTGTGGAACACCGCACGACATGGGCCGACACCTCAGATTACCTTCTCGGTCCTCGTACACGACGGTACGCTCCTCTAAATAGTCTGCCACTAGCCGCCTCAGGTACTTTGGCACCCCATGATAGTGGAGTGCTTCCCTGATGCAGCTGAATGGCAGACTATTGAATGCGTTGGCGATGTCTAATGACACCGCCAACAGCACGCCGCCACAGCTCACGGCCTCCTCGGTCACGGCCCTCAGGCGCAACACGGCGTCGACTGTCGAACGCCCCGCCCGAAAACCAAATTGGGCGTCCGACAGATCGGGGCCCACCTCGCAGAGGTGCCGGACGATGCGGGCAGAAAGAACCCTCTCAAACAATTTGCCCGCCTCGTCCAGCAGCACGATGGGCCTATAGGCGGCGACCGAATCGGCAGGCCGTCCCGGCTTCTGCAGCAGGACCAGCTTCCCGCATTTCCAACGCTCAGGGAAGCGTCCGGACGCCAGGCTAGCGTCCAACACCCCCCTGAGGTGGTCCGACATGTAGTCGAGGGCTCGGGCCATCACTCGGGCTGGAACCCCGTCCGGCCCGGGGGCGGTGTTCTTGGATCGAATCCGTAGAACAGCCGCCCCAACTCCGATTCCCTGACGGGCGGAACATCGACCTCGCTGCCCCCGTCGTCTCCGGCTGATGCAGCCATCGACGGGGGTGTGTGCTCCGCCCGCTGCGGGAATAGGCCCTCGACCACTTCCTGCAGGAAGCTGGGCTGGAGAGTCTCCGTAAGGGGGGGGCCCAACGCGGGGGAAAAAAAGGAATTTGCTTCGAGATAATTTGTTAATCTTGTATTGATAGCTTTTTTCAATTATCTTGCCAAGAGTGGGAAGAAGAGAGATTGGTCTATAATTAGTGACACTGTCTCTATTTCCAGATTTGTAAACGGGTACGACAATTGACTTTTTTAGAGCCTTTGGAAAAATGCCAGTTGATAGGCACAAGTTGCATAAGTAAGAGATTGGTTCCGCGAGGAAATCTATACCTTGTTTAATGAAGATTGAAGATATCCTATCCCAACCCGACGCTGAGGTGTTTTTTAAAGATTTAATAATTTTTCTAATCTCATACTCGTCAGTAGGTAACATTATCATTGAATTTAGTGGGCTATGTTTATATTTGAAATTACTAGCTAACTCATTTTCATTTTTCTTTAATCTTGATAATATGTCATTAGCAAGTGACTTGCCCACATAGGTAAAATATTTATTTACAGAATTTACTGAGGCCTCGGGAGTGCTTTCAATAGACAACAAGTCAACGGCGGTTTTAGATTTAATATTTAGGTTACATATCTGGCTTATTGTTTTCCACGTGTTTTTTATATTATTTTGATGTTTACATATTTCAGATTTTTCAAAATCAGTTTTTACTTTATGAAGAAGTTGATTGCAAAAATTTCTGTACCTTTTGTAGGTCACTTGTAGAACAAGATTGTTAGGATCCTTTCTAAGTTTTGCGTGTAATTTATCTCTCCACCTAATGCATTTAACCATGCCCTGGGTCATCCATGGTTTTATATTTACTTTACCAGTAGTAATTTTCAGTTTGCAAGTACAATTGTCTAAAATAGTAGATAATATATTAAGAAATTCATTTGTTGCACCCTCAGGGCACGTGTTATTATAAATTTCTTTCCAATCAATACATTTAATTTCATCGACCGCTTTAGCATAATTAATTTTAGTAATAGTTTTACGTGTTCTTTTTAACTGTTGATTACCTTTTACCGCGATAACAATAGATGAATGGTCAGTAATGGTTGAGTTACAAACAACTGTAGTCGCTGTACAGCCTATTTTAAGAAATGAGTGGTCATAACACTTCGTTTGTCTGGTAGGGAAGGTATGACTGGGCAACAGTCCATTCATGGACAGCTGGTTTAGGTAATCTGGAGTCCTTGAATCTTGATTACCCTCCTTAATGTCAAGGTTCATATCACCCGTTACTATAAGATTTTTGAAATGTCTTAGATTATGTAAAATATGATCGAGGGATTCTTTAAAGCGGTCGACAGTGTAAACTGAAGGTGACCTATAAATTGCTACGATGGCGTATTGATTGTTTATTTCAGCAACCAAGCAGTCTGCATCCACCATTTTCGGTTCATAAACTTTGACATTTAAATCATCACTAGTATATATTACGACGCCACTATTTTGATTAATGTAATGTTTAGAGGAATGGCAAATAAAGTTTGGTAAACTAGGTATGTTATTTAAGTGAGGGAGCCAACATTCCGTTAAAATTATGAGATCAAACTTAATTTTTAATCTTGCAAGATGAACTGTAAAATCGTTAAAATTATAATCTATGCTTCGAATATTCTGTACAATTATATTTAGGCTATTATGAGATTGACCCAGTAGATCCCGGCAATCGTCAGCTTCATCTATCAGGAACGCTTCACCAACACTAACATTGACATCAATGTCAGTGTTCACTTGTTGTAAGTCATTTGTCATATTGTTTATATTTGTTAATATTATAGAATAACATATAATGGTTTGGCGCTCCTGACCACATGACGCCGATCACGTAGACTACACTGGGTGAGATAAAATTTGTACTATAATGAATCCAGTTTGTTAGAATATTCGAAAGTGTGAAATTACCAGTGTAAGTGAAAAAAGCTGGTAATAAAAGAATGTTAAATAAATGAATATAGTTAGGTGAAGGATATAAATAAATATTGATTATTATAATATTAGTAGATAAAATATATATTATGTTTGTTGACGCAGTTGTAATATAAATTCTAGGTAATATGTGTAAATAATAACAGGTAAGAGAGTAAATAGTAAACCAACAGATTAGCAAAAGTGTTAGCTTAATACTTTTATGTAGTCACTTTGACTTACATTGAAACTTTTCCAAATCTTTAGGCTTTTCAATACGTATCGGAGTTTCATCTTCACTTTTTCTCAACAACACAATTCCCTTTGAGGCCCAACAGTACTTAAATGAACCATCCTTGATCCTTGAGTTGTTTGGCTGCATTAAGTAGCATTTTAGTTTTAGGAGTCAGCTTATCAGAAACATAAACAGGGGTTATGGAAGATTCAATGCTCAAATTTTTGCTATTCAATTTCCTGTCCTTATTAGTTTTGTTATATGATATCACCGACTTTAGTAGCTGTATTTTATGGTTGAAGTTTTTAAATTCAATAACAATCGGAGCATTTGCTTTTCCTGCACGATATACTTGCCTGACATGTTCCATGTTTGCTTCACTATCCACAGTCCTCATCAGCTTAGTAACGATCTTATTTAAGTCTTCCTTTTCTTCTCTAGGTACATTTCTAACTTCCAAAACGTTCCTCAGCTGGTTCCTTTGTAATTGATCCAATTGTTCCTCCAGTAGGTCAATCTTATTATGAGCGTTTGCGCATTCTACCTCCAGGCCAAAAACTTTTTTCTGTAACTCATTCTGTTGATCAATATTTTGCTGTAGGATTTTTTCTATCTCCCCATTGCTTTCAATTAATTTTCCATTTTGTATGGTTAATGCTTCAATAGCTTTAACCAGATTATCATATTTTGTGTCTTGTTTTGATTGGAATTCCTGAAAAATTACTTTCATATCCGAACAAAATTCTGCAAACTTCTCATTTTCTGACATTTTTCTTTTTCTTGTATTTATCCTTACATTTGCCTCCCCATCGTCATTAGTACTTAGGGTATACATTGGAGAACTTGAAAAAGAAGTTAGAAGCAACGTAGTCAGGCTACGTACCTTGACTACTCTTCACTAAATAATCCTAAGCCCTCCCGTATCTCACTTCATAGCTTCACTTTCTGTGCTTAAACCTTGTTAGGCACATTTATTTTATCCATGATTTTTTTACTTTTATCATTATCAACGGCCTTAAAAAGTCCACTACTAAACATAGGCCTCTCCTTAGAAACGAGGTTGTGGAAGAATGGGTGTCATATCCCTCCAATACAAAGGGAGGCGAGGTGATGTTAGGAAGTTGTAAATACACTAATCGACTCGAGAATTGTTAATATCGCGATACAGGATTTGTAGTTACTCCGCAGTTCGGTGTGTCTTCAATAGATGGTACGCTGTAGTATGTTTCTTTGTTTCACCGTATGTGGAAGTCGCCACAGAGGTTTTGGTATACTAAATCACGCTGGTTAGATGGCATTTTGCAGTTCTGTTATCCTGCATAGTTTGCTTTCTCAGTCGGCTCTTACGACACTCACGTATTCTTAATCCGTCACCACACATTACTTCCATGCCTTTCACATACTTCTTCTTTTATTCACTCTTCATTTGCTATAAATTCTATTTAACTATGGAATGCGGTCCCTCCCTCCAGAGAATAAAATTGCCACTAACCGTGACATGCAATTTATCTCATTTAATCTTTCCAAGGCCGACTGGTACATATTGCAATTAGTCGTTTTTAAGGAAAAAGTACATACGGGACAAAAATACATATGCGAGAACAATATACCTACCTCCGAGAACCTCTATATTTGAAAGACCCTACACAGTTATATGTTATCGTCCGAGTAAAAACTTTGACATTTTACGAAATTATATGTTACGTTTTATGAAATAAACATGAAATATGGTTTAAAACAACTTCAAAATCAAGTTGTAAAATAAACTAAACTAAAGAACAACTCAACCTGTTACTTTTGAACAATCAAGTTCTGCAGGTTCTTTTCTAAGACTTAATTTGTATAAGTGTGTTAAAAACAGTAATTACTTTGGCAAAGAAGAAAGGTTTATGTCCTTTATATAAGGTGAAGGACAGAAATTAATACATTCAAAACGTGATAAAAATATTATGAAAATATGTTTACAATATAAACTTCTAGTAAATAATTATGTTGAAATCCTTGATTTAAATTAGATTTAAATAAAAATATTTACTATACAGGCTGTATTTTTTTAACATATGCTTAAATTTCACGATTTTTACAAACTTGTGGAGTAAACCCTGGATATTAGAAGTGAGTCATTTTTATTTACAGAAGTCTAAAAAAGAGAAGGTTCTAGGTTCGGTTGTTATGTCTTAAAAACTCATTCAATAAAATGCAGAACTCAACCACTGGATAACCAAACAATCTTAACATTTTTCTCAATTAATTAAGGCTTGTGAATATTGCGATCCTCCAACACAGAAGGAGTATCATCCGACTAACGAGGTGACTGCGGCGGCGGTTGACGTCGGGCAGTTGTACAAGTATCAAACAACGCGGCGAGAACTTTAGTACGGTGCATTTTCGTTAGATGGTATTGAAATATGTTTTTCGTTTTAATTGGAAGTCATCAAAGGCTTGTTAAGTTTCACAAAATATATGCTTACATATTGTTCAGTAACAAACACAGTATAGTAAGTAAAATTCTGAATACCCTACTTATTTAGTTACCTAAAACCAACTGTGCATATGTATCTGCCCTACAAACCTATAAATATTCCCTGTTAGCTCGTTATAATTAAAATGTAAAATTGGAATGCTGGTATTTAAGTATATGTTCTTTAATAGTTTTATTAATACATCAGTTCTTAGACTAACATAACCTTAGCCTGCTAGATGAGAAATAGTAGCGCTGCTAACATTATCTTTGAATTCACTGCCGGGGTGAACCTACTCGTACTGTACTGTATCAAGTATCTACTTGGCTGGGCACCGACTTGAAGAGTCCCAACTTTCGTAATAAAAATTCGACCAAAATTCACTTCCGATCTACTCTCGATCTCACAAATTTAAAAAATGGTATTCTTTCTGTCAATTTTTTTACATCTAATCCATTAGAATGTGGTGCTATCGTATTGTTATCGAAAGTTGAAAAACGTTAAATCGGTGTTCTGCTGTTCTTAGTGATATTATAAACGTCAAGTTTGACATTTCTATGAGATTGGATATTGATCAACAGTAAGACTGCAAGAAAGTGTTTTTTCTACGAAGATTTTGTATACATTTGGCGCCTTCAAGTGTTTGGAAGTTTAATTATACCAATATGCACTCATTTTACAAACGTTGGTTGTATTTGATGAGTGCTCAAGGCACAGATGACATCATCATCATCAATCTACTTGGTAGATGTGGAGAAACTTGTTTACTCTTTATTTTTTATTTATTTCAACTTCAAAAAATACTTTTTACTTAATTATGGTGTAAAATACTTTATGGTGGCGTAATTAACAGTTTAAAAAAAAATCTGTATATATTCGTGTATTGCTGCGTATTTTATTTCTAGTTATATCATTCAATAGATCGTCATAAGACTGAACAGCATAAGATTATATTGAGATTATATTGAGATGATACTGAGACTGGATTGTATTTTTTGTTATCAGAATACCTATTTTCAGTCAATTTATAATTCAGTCTCGATACAATCTCATTTCGGTCTCTGATGTGTTAAAATACGAGAATTGACCTTCAGACATAGATGTATAGACATCTATTGTTTGGTTACGGTGTGTAAAATCCCTTCGCATCTGAAGCTTCCTGGGGACACAGGAGCCAGGAGTATGTGGGGGATTTCAAGCGACTCTGATTACAGGTCCCGCAATTGTATAGGTTCATAACATTCTCTATATTATAATCTAGCTAATTATGGTGCCTCAATTACAATACTGAGTATAGTCATAACGACATGAATTGGAAAACTTTTTAAAACTATAAAACCCTAGACAGACGCACAGATATACGAGTACGCTATTCTGAATCATTTGAAGATTTTGATCTGCAAATGATTCAGAATAGCGAACAAGAAGGATTTAGATTTGGGATTTATTTAAGGAAGCTATTTTTTTTTGTAAGCGGGCACAAATTTATAATATGTTAGTATAACATGCATGTAATATCTTTTAACGAGCAATTCTTGTATATTGTAAGTTTATATAGTTATGAGTTTTAGTTATTTAATAAGTAACTAGCTGTACTCTGCTACGCTTCGCTGTGGCACATTGTGGTTGCACTTATGAGAAATTAGGATCAAAACCGATACAAAAATAAAAATAAAGTCATCTTTGGAGCGAGTCACCGTGTCAAAATTTGATCTCGATCGGCGTAGAACTTTTTGAGTTTTTGAAGCGTACACAAACCAACTTAACTTTTTTAAATATAAAAAGAAGATAGTTGTCATGATAGTTCTTACTTGTTAGTTATGTTGAAGTGTTACAAGTAACAATAATATGGTAAACGCCTTTAAAAGTACCTAGCTCGTACCTAATGCCTTTGTAATGTTACCTGTAATATTTAAAGTGTCACATGTATCGTAGTAGTTTTTTAATTAAGTTGGTAATTAACTATTTTTCACTGTTCAGTGACCTACGTAAGTATTTTTAAAGTCGGTTCACAAGTTTTTACTAAATATATATACTAACGTACAGTTAGTTACCATAAAACTAAAACTATCTAATTCAATGGAAAACGTTTTTAAATTATACCTTTTTTTTTTGGTGTACACGATTTTATACATTGTTTAAGTTTTTTAACAATAATGTTATATTACAAAAAATGTAGACAATTTTAATTAGTTTCTTACGCATATACGCAAAACGTATATAAGGTGTTCATAAGTATGTTATTATATAAATAGTGTTATTAGTTAAAAAAGTAATAAACTACATTACGTTTACATTTACTCAGTCTCTTATTTACCTAATATATAACAACTGCACGGATGGCGTAGTGGTTTAAGCGGTTACCTCGCCGCTTCCTACGGCGCTGAGTGTTGTGGGTCCGATCCCCACATGGGAAGACACTTTGTGTGATTCACAAATTGTTGTTCTGAGTCTAGGTGTCCTTTTCATGCATGTTTGTATATATATACTTTCAAATTAACTACTCCTGATAAAAGGAGGCCAAACAAAAAAAACTCTACGTTTGGGACTATATTATAATAACAGGGTCTCTATATTAATAGTTTCCTATAATCTGTCAGCTTTACATTGACGATTTACTACTTCTCTTAAATTATATTTTAGTTTACCTTACCATTTAAAGAGGTAATGCTAATTAAACGTATAGGCTAACATGGGACTTAAATTGCTAGGCATTCGTACAGTTATGGCGACAACTTTGTTTGAGATATCAGTGATTGATTAAATTCTTAGAATACCATATTGGTATATGGATAAAATATATAAATAAATAATTAATGTTATAATGTAACCGAAAACTTTAACCGTTTTAATATAGAGGCAGTAGGTAATTACACAGAAAATACATATATTATATATTATGTTGATATTTACCATATCAACTATTTGCATGAGATATGTGGACGTATAGGGCGTAAATAAAGTAAAAGTAGTCGGTAAATGGCTTGAAAATTTCTTCATCTTCTTGAAATAAAAAGAACGAGAGTGAACCTCTTGATATCTTTTCAATTCGAGATTCTTGTCTTTGGAGACCAGGCCTTACAAATAGGCGGGCGCCTTTTTGTAACAGGTCTCTAAATTATATATAATTAGCTTTTGCGCCTACGTCTATGGCGGTTATCGCAGTAAAAATTAGCCTATGTAACTTGCTGATAATGTAGCTTTCCATTGGTGAAACCATTTTTAAAATCGGTTTAGTGATTTAGGCGTGAAAGCGTAACAAACAACCAAACTAATTCATTTTCAAATTTATAATATAAGTATGGAAGTATGGATATCGAACTTGTAAATTAATTGTCATTATCTTGTATACTCTTTCTAATATAATGTAAATGTTCATCTATGTTCTACAGAATATAATAAACTTTATTGTACATCAACATTTATTTTTCAATAATACAATGTTCATTGTAATAATATGCAATACATAATATGATGTTAAAATATTATGCGTACGTAGGTTCATTTTTATTGCATTAAAAGGTAAATAAAATTACACCAATATATAGCAATATCAGCTTTAAAAAACAAAAATGCCAGACTGTAAACGAAAAAGGAGACAGTGGTTAGACACAATAGGTTGCAAAATGTTAAAATAAGATGTGATTGTGATTGGCTTTTGCATCGTTATTTTATTTTTAAAATTACTTTCACCGACTTAAAGACAATAATATACAAAAAAATATATATCACATGATTTTTATACTAAAAATGATATAACTGGCAAAATAATCTATGTTTTGATGAGCATCTCATGAATAAAAAAAATTGTTCATAGTTCGGAAGGCGCATTTTCACAGTTTTGAGTAGGGTTTTACAAATCCGTAAGCGAATTTTTAATACTATAACTGTTAGTGAATTAATTTTAACTGCTATTTTGCTTCATAAATATTATAATTATTTATCTTTTAAAACATGTCACACATAACAGTATATATTGGTGTTAAATTACACGCTTTTAATGTTCAAACCTAGGAACTAATGATTGAATATTACTCGTAGATTTGATCTCTTGCTTATTTGTATGCAAACGAGAATATCTTTTGGTGGACTCCGATGTTTACTGCAAGATTGACCCGTTTTACTCACAGGGGCTACGTTTTTAAAATGCTTTTTTTATGATTGAGTAGATATTGTAGAACTTAACGACATGTTAACCTTCGTTAGGAAAGTATAAGTAACGTTTAGAGATAATTACAAATTAAATGTGTTTTCGGTACATGGAAATAATATTGACGAGCAGAAGTTTTAAAATCACACCATTATTATAAATGCGAAAGTAACTCTATCTGTCTGTCTGTTGCGCTATCAGAGCATACCGCAGAACGATATTAATGAAATTTGACATGGAGATACTTTAATTTCTGTGGAAGGACATAGCCTACTTTTTACCACGAATACAGAAATACATGCATCACATCACAGCATGCATGTACGTGTGGTGACGGATTAAAAATTATTTTACTAAATATCATTAAAAGACACTGCTGTAAATTTCTTTCTAGGAATGAAACCATTGGCATTTGTTTAGAGAACTTTTACTAGATTAGTAGTGTTTTATCAAATATGGTTTATTACAATTTTTTGTTTATGTCATTCGCATCTAAAATTGAACTGATATATACTGCATAGACTTATGTAATATGACATGTCAACACATAATAACTAGACGCGTATAGCTCGATGTAGTCGTTGCCATATGTATAACTAAATTTGTAATACATATTAAAAATCTTAGCTTTCTGTACTTATTCTTTCTAAACATTTGAATCTTTACGTATTCCAAATTTACTATCATGTTTCTCAGTTTGATAAATTTTCTAAAATTTCTAAATATAAACAGAGAATACTTACACTTTTAGACAATGACAATATAGCAAAATCTCAGGCAATTCAAATATATATATATATATATATATATATATATTGGCAGTGGTAAGCAAGATAGCAAAGACCTAAATTGTGGGGTTCAGTCTATTAAAAATAAGTGTAGAAGTATCAAAATATTTAAAACTCGAGACTATATTTACGTTCATATTTCTAAATTAACAATTTAAACATTGCTCTCGATGAACTCGGTACTAAAATTGTGCAATCTAATAAAATGAGTAGGCATTCCGAATAATTCCAAAAATTGTTTCCATAATTTGATTTCTATAAGAACATGATTGTTTAGTATGCATACAGGCACGTTTCTAAGTGAACATACCGCAGCAAGATGTACTGAGATCGTAGGGATGCGCCAGCGTCAGGTCGCACGAAGTTCATAGGTAAACATGCCGCTATATAAAGCCTGTGCAGTGTCAACGTGCACACATTTGTTCTGTTGCCTGTGATTGCATCCAGTCATTTTGTACAGACATCCTGCCCCACATCCTGCAGCAATGGTGAGGAATAAGTTTATCTTTAACGCATAGGAAATAATATTTTACCGTGGGATTTAAACATAAGTGTTCATAGTCTTAAATTATTTCCTTTTATTATCATAGTACTTTAGTAAGTACTGCTTACCTTTTGTTAAAACTACAAACAAATAACAGGCCCTGTAGTTGAAATAAATTCTTTAGAACTCTGCGAAATTAAGTCTTAAATCTCACACAAGACTTGAAGAAATTTGTTGCTGTTGTAGTTTTTGTTTAATTAAGGGTTAAGTAAGGTTAAGTAGGTCATTCCTCATTATTTTATAAAAAAGCTAGATGTACCCTACACTTCACTAACACGAAGTTTAGTAAAAAACATGTTTGAAGCGGGTTGCATATCCTTTCAGAATTTGTACTCAATCGGTGCAGAACCTTTTGACTTCTTAAAGCGTACTTAAAACAATGTAACATTTTATAAATAAAGATTTCTAAAGCACGTACCACTTCGGTGTCTTCAAAATAATTATCTGAAATTTTATAACGCAACTTACTATTAACTAAACTGTTACCTCTCAACTTTCAGTTTATGCTCATATCATATCACTTGCTTAAACTGTTAATAAAAAGATCATTTCCACACAGGCCTGTGATCATTTCATGGTGTTGTCGAAGCATAATTTCAAAATAAGGACATTTATATGAATTATTTTATCCATAACAAATAGTCAAGGCCCATTCAGAATACTAGGTGCCCCGTGCTGTAGCTTTGCAACAATTTTCACAAGGAGTTGGTCATATTTTTAAACCTGACAATATATGAAGTGAATTCAAGAATAGTAGTTTCATTAGTAATGATTATAGTAAATTCCATCAATACAATATTAGTAGCGTTATTTTTTTTTAAATATCACTTTGCACTTTTTCCCAAATGTTATTTATTGAACTTTTAAATGCGCATGTATATCGTACAATATATTACTAACTACAAGAAACGTAGAATGAATACAAATTGTATTTTATATTCACATTGTGTAGCCCGAATACATTTTTGGGAAATGTCACTAATTATGTCTAAGTGAAGCCATACATAAAATTATGAAGTTAAATTGAAAATGTGATGTTTATTAAAGGACTATGATAGAAAATTAAAGTCATGTCATAAATATCATGTCACATTTTGATTCAATTGAAACCGATTTTATTTATTTTACATACGGAAACGTAGGTCATCTTAAACTGACATAATTCATTTAATTTATAAATATATATATTCAAACATCTGAGCTTTCTACACATTTTTCTATGTATAAACCTGAAGAACTTTAAAATGTACGCTCCTCCCTTCGAGTTTTTTTTATCACGTTATCTCTAACTCTATCTAACATCAAGTTTTAAAATAACTAGTACCTACTCCCGCATTCTTAATGACAATTGTATACAAATATATTCGTTAAACTGTAGGTCAATACTATTGGTATAATATATTGGGAACACGCAAATGGCAGCGGCAGTGCCGAGATTGTTTATAGCTCCCGTAACCATTTACAGTCATTTAAAATCTTTCTTTTCCATTATTTGACATAAAAATACTATCTGACTTACGTATGGGTCACCATACATCCATTGTGTTGTGTTCACAACAGTGTCCGAATTTCCGACTGCATGGATGGCGTAGTGATTTAAGTGGTCACCTCACCGCTTCCTACTACGCCGAGTGTTGTGGGTTCAAACCCCACATGGGACAACACTTTGTGTGATCCACAAATTGTTGTTCTGAGTCTGGATGTACTTTGTGTCCGTTTCGTGTATGTTTGTAAAGTTCCCCGGGACACAAGATATATTCCTAGTGCGGGATTTGTCTTTCTTAAATAGAAATTGAATAGACTTTGTCTCAAAAAATTTCCTTCTTGACTTTCAAGAGAAATTAAAATAAATAAGAGAGGAAGTTAGACGTTAAATTACATAACTAAGTTTATTTAATTATGAACACTTTTGTGATAAACGCCTAATTAATGATCATTGACTAATTTACCTTTTTTATGTAGTTCTGTTCTCTTGACTATGCCTGTGTTCAGATAAAACAATGAGCAAAGGTCAATGGCATTGTAATTAATCATTAAAAAAACACCGCAGTGGAACAAGGCAAACCCGTCAATGTTTATATGACTAGGTAAGTGTTTAATTGAAGCTCACGCGATTATACTTCAAGTCAAGAGCACAATTATTTGAATGAGGTAGAACAAAAACAATCGAAAGCGAAGATAAAAGTAAAAAAATCCGGCATTACTGTGTACTGAATACGTTTTTCAATTTAATTAGGAATAACAATTATAGCTATTTGGCATAGCATAACAATATAGATTATGGTATATGATTGCACCACCGCGAAATTTATAAATTAGTTGGTCATCAGTTAAATACTATTTTGGTTGGTTCTTAATTAAATAGATCTTTACATGTAATTCCCTATTCTAAGCTAGCTGTAAGTAAAATTCATAATTCTAAGGACTCAAGCAAAATTATACAGAAAACTTTCCCATTATATTTATAACTTTTACCTGGAAACAATTTTATCATGTAAATGTATTTCTGTTACCTTATCGTGGGTCAAATGTCAACACGTGTTTCATGAACAGGAGTTCAAAATACAGTTCTGAGATCGTTGTCGCATCACGGAATCCTTTCTTACTTCAAACCAACAATTTTTACCCGTGTACATCACGTTTTCGAGACGAGCAAGACTTCCTCTCCGAAGTTTGCACAATATCAATCGTAAAATATAATGTAGTCATTTTCCAACAAAGGATTTTTGTAACAGACGGACGAAATGTATTTATTGTGCGTGTACGTAAGGTTGTTGACGTGTACAATATGATTTGTGTATGGGCGTGACCATTATTTTTATTTAAACCTACCTGCTTTTATTAGATGGTAACCTAAGTGAATATAAAATTATTTACTAATTCTACTTTTACACATGAAAATTATTTCTTAACATTCAGAAATTAATGTGCAATTGCGCATTAGAAACGGATTCGATGAGTCATCATCCAACTTACCATATTTATGTTCCAAAAGAATTAAAATAAATGGCTACCCAATAAGGAAATATCAGTGGTGACTGGTCCATTCATCTTAAAAGTAAAGATTAATAACTCATTATATTAGAGTTGTAAAAATCCATTCAACTAATTCAATACATTGCTTATACATTCACGTTTTTGACAACCTATTAATGCCTCATACAATTTTAGGAATAATAAAATTGCAATGACAGAGCGAATATCTGCTGTGTGAACTTAAAACAGTTGATAATCACTTGAAATATGTACAAGATTATGTTTCATATCTTGAAAGGCATTCACTTAATATGTTCGTAAAGGTGTAATATAAATTTAGGTTAAAAAAATTGGACTAAACAAGCATTAAGAAAACATCTTAATCCTAGATTCCTTAATTGTAGACCAATAGGTTTTTCTTTAACCCAGTAGAAACTACCGGAATTATAAGTAATCTAAACCAACATAAGAAATAATTTAAAAATTACAAGACTGATTGTTGTATTAATATAAACAAATACAGGCGCGAGACACACGGTTCGGTTTAAACCACGGAATGAAAGCAAGAACCGACAGACATGTTCATGGTCGATTTTTTATTATACATACTTTTGCTGTCCACAAATTAACTTTCCAAATTTCCATCACACCTTTTCCAGTTATTTTTTGTCTTAAGATTTAGTTTGTTCTATTAGGGTTATTTTAAAACTAAAAAAACTAAATCTGTATGTCTGTAACATATATATACATATAAATTTCGATTTGTCTTGTAATCTAATAAATAATATAAATATTAGAATTGTAAATACAGTTTTTTTAGAAACAAACATGCTTAGAAGAATTGTAAGCTTTTAAAGAAATAATAAGATGCTGTTAGCTTTTGTACCTTTAATATGGATCATATTTCTTAATAATTCATATGGAAAAAAACACATCTAAGATGAAAATTTTATCACTAATTTCACTTTTAGGTAAGTTAACGGGACTAATAATGCCACTACATAACGGTTACTATTTCACATACTCATGTAACATATAACATATAAAAAGCTATTGTAACATTCTGATTATGCTTCAGTTCCCTAATTAATTTGTGTATTATTATTTTTTCCAGCGTCACTGGATATATTGCTAGTGCGTGAGTTATGTTCTTACAAAAAATACATTTCTCCGATTGACTAACTTGCTAAATACATTGTATGACTAAGAGAGAGGGAAGTCAGAGAGGCAAGGGTGAATTTAAGAATCGTAAAAGACTCGCCTTTCTATCACTGTACTTTCCATGGGATATACTCGTACTTACTCAGTCTAATGACAATACGTCATTTAAATCTACCGACAATGGTTAGCTGTTCAACACACGATTTCTATAAACTAATTTCATTGTTCACGAAGAAAGCACTTTCCACTCGGTTGGCATGCTCCGGCATCTAATATATTCATTATGTTGCTCAATGTGGTTGAAGTATATGATATAATAACCTGGGTTGGTTTGCATGAATGTAAACAACAAACAATAACGAATAAATGTATTGTATTTTTTTACATTGTACTCGTATTATGCTTAAAGCTTCGTCTTTTGTACTTAGTGCAATAATAATAAACCAACATAATATGTATAAATCTATTCAATAGCTGAAAATACTGAAAAATGGAATTAGATATGTAAAATTGTTTCACAGTGAAAGTCACTTTAAAAACTATACAAAACAGGTTTTTTACTTAATCATGATGATTGTATTATCTAAAATAAAAATGATTTTTATTCTTCTATAGTTTTTAGTTTTTAGTTTAGCGATTATTCTTATCGGTTGCAGTGAGCAGTTTTCTTTAAGTGAAATGAACATTAATAGATAAAATCCTAGACAAAAAGTGTAAAACTATGCAACGTTACATTATAAGCATCAAATAAATTTCTATTAAAATACAAAATATTTTAGAACCACTCCTAAGAAAAAACTCTTAAACATCGCGTAAAATTAACATTGCTACTTCTAAACATAAGGCGTTGCAGCTTCTGTCGATCCTTCTATATTTTTACATCGCAAAGAAACTTAAGTTAAAGAAATATAAAAACCAAAATCGTAATCAAGTACTCGTACGTCACGTATAACAATTACAGTTGATTTTTGATATTAACAATTTTTTAATTATTCATTGAAAGATCCTGGAAGCTTGAATTGAAATAATAAATAGAATGCTTGTTTCTATCAATCGCAATTGACACTATAAATATCAATTTCATTTTAGTAATTGAAAGAATAACTTTTTTCAAATACAAGGTACGGTAAAATACATAGAAACAATCGGTTTTTAAATTTTGTGATCAACCTTTTACATCAAATTACTATGCGGTTCTCGCTTATCATTGACAAACAAATTTACTCGTATATCCGATTTTGTTGAACATTCTTCCATTATTATAGTATTGTTTCTTAAAATTTCAAACATAGACACTAGTACCTCAATACTACAATTAAAGCCATACTGTACTATTTTTTTAGTTACTAATCCATATTACTAAATTTGGGCATAATTATACTCTATGCATCCTTCACCCCTTTATAAAAATTATTACAAAAATAATTATTTCGATTGATATTTTCTATTTGTTTTCATATTAGGTGTCCTGCAGCATATCGGAGTTTAGACTCAGTACTTATAATAAATATAAATAACTATAAATAAAATAACTCAGAATAAATATTTTGATTGATGGCTTTGTTTCGATACCGTCATAAGTACAATGCAATACCATATTGAAACTTTTCATTCGATATTGTCTACCTAAGTCCGAGCTACGAGCTTACTACACAGTTTGACCTGAATGTATAGCTGTCGCCCATTATTATTTTTAGACATTGTATTATTATTTTTTGTTATTTCAACACAGAAATACGGCTGAAGTAAGCTTGCAAGTATATGTAAATTATAATGACAATATCTAACGTTGCAATTAGGTATATAGTGTAGTAGAAAATATAAAGATACTGATGCCATATAAAATTTTGCAGCATTGTTCGTCTACCATTCCAATTACATATCCCATCACCAAGAAGCTTGTGCAACAACAATGTATATTACTTGATAGCGAATGTAGTTATAGGTAATTGAATCTTCTTCATATAAATATAAATATTATGTTAGTTTGTATACGCTTTAAAGACTCAAAAAGTTCTGCACAGATTGACCGTCAAAGTTGACGCGATTTACAACACGCTTCAAAGATGGCTTTATCTATTTTATCAACCACAATGTGCCATAGCGAAGCGTGGCAGGTGTACCCTGCTAGTATACAATTTTTATATTTATATTTAAATATAATATAACAGGGACAAAACAGTAAGTTATGTTAAATTTAATCAGGGTTGTGTAAAGTGGCTAATTTTGTAAATATTTATTTCAGATTACTCAAATCTTTGTACTTCTTTTGGGTGTGACGTATTCAACAGCACAAGCGCAAAAGGCAAATGAACCGATACCAATCATTCGTTATGAATCCGATGGACCCAATGTAGACGGGACCTACAAATGGCTGTAAGTTTTAACAGAATAAATATAATGATATTTTTTTTAAATTAACTAGGTACTTGTATTATTAAAACATAGTTGTTTGCAATTATTTAAAACTTTAAATGATACATCATTGTCATGAAATAGTATGTCATTCAAAGTTGGGAGAAGCAATACGGACTCCTAAACTTAATTTTAAATTGATATGCTTAATAAACCCTTTTTAATTTATTTTCTTTTCAGTTATGTAATATAAAAACATGTATGATATAAAAATAAATTATAAATATAACAGAGCATTACAATCACGGTTAACATTAAATTTCAATTTGCCCTTAAATAAAATGATCGACAATTCGATACAGATATCACATATCGTTAAAAAAAAAAACACTGTAATATGCCAGAAAGTAACTATAAAAAACTGAAATGATTGGAACCAAAGTAACTGATGAATTGTGCCTCAATTGCAAAGCCTATTTTAAAGCTACAATGGCCAAAACACATTACACATAAACCACTCATGTGTAAATTGTTTCACAAAAAATAAACCGCATAGCTATTATTACCTACACTTTATTATATGATAGAGTTAAAAATATATCAATAAGTAACACTTAAGTTCATACATATCTAAGAGAACAGTTTTAAACATTTGAATGACTATTCTTGACATTTTTGTAATATACATATCTACGTGCAAATGAAAATCCCACGCAAAACTTGATCAGCACTCACAAAATTGCTCATAAGTCATCTCTTTGGCAATGAAAACCGGTTAGTTCTAAAACATAACTAAATTATGATATAAATGACTGTAAAAATTCAGTTACTTAGATTGCACTACCAGTGACATTCATAGAGTAGTTAATGGCTTGGCACATAAGGTAAAAAAAAACACTTAGCGGTGAACTTTACCCAAGATTCAAGCATATTTATGTCATCATGTCAACTTTTAAGTGAAATATGGCGCCTTGATTCGTGACAAGGATGTGTGAAAATAACGAGCACCTTTAGTTTGAATACCTGGAACGCATTCTTGTTAATAATCAAAAAATGTCTGTTAATATTTTCAACGAAACTTAAAACTGAAGAAAAATAGACTTTGATTAATCTTTAATGAAGATTATCAAAGTTAATTGAAAATCAACGTTAATCTAACTGTTAACTTACATTTATAAATGTGTTTTGGAGCTTGAATCGTCAAAAAAATAATTTTATACTTATAGAAAACTATTTTTTTGTAATATTTCCATTTTCAGTTATGAGACCGGTAATGAAATTAACGCTGAAGAGTCAGGATACGTAAAGAATTTTGGACAAGGAGAAGGTCAGGAGATACAGACAGCGGAAGGGAAGTTCAGCTACAAAGCTCCGGATGGCACTCTCATCTCTCTTACGTACATAGCCGATGAGAATGGATTTCAACCGCAGGTGATTCGTATACACTGAGTTTATTCTATCGCGATTGTATATCTGATTTCCAAGAATGCCTGCGTATGGTTTTCCTCATAAGTACTTCGCTATAAAATTAAAATGTTAAAGTTTTTAAACTTGGAATCGCTAATGATTCTCGTTAACTTACTCAAGAGTTTTTTTTTACATTCCGACAAAAACGACAGTAACGATATAACCAAGAAAAAGTATCTTTTTTAGATTAAGAATTAGGGTTTTCTCTTTTTCAAATAGAAAATACGTAAACTAGAAATCAAAATCGCCTAACTAATAATTGCGTAATACGGCTAGCAATAAAATTACGTCTTAATACCTGTTAAATTGCAATTATACGACCACCTGTGGCAAATGTAAACCTTGACATCTTACCGTAGGGAATCACAATAAGTTTTAATCTTCGTTCGCTGGATATTTCACGGCGTCTGGTACAATAAAACCGTGTACAATTATAATAAATAAAATCGATAAGTAAGTTTAAAAAGTATGTAAGTAAAGTCAGTTAACTAATTGCTTTTGCTTGTTAATAATGTTTTGAACACAATATGATTCTAAAACTGATTTCAATGCGTGTACATCATTCCTTAGTTTAATACCTTTAGTTTTTATCTTTATTTATCCTTGCAATTTAAATAATGGAAATTATAACATTTTAAAAAAAATATGAAATTCTCTTCGAGAAGTTTCTTTCTCAAACGACAGAGCACTAAGGTAACAAACTTAAAGAAATAGAACCGAATGGAACCCCTTCTTTTTTTAAGTCGGTTAAATTTTTGGATTTGTAACATTGACCCACAAAATAAATCATGGCAACCTTTTATTTAGGCACAATAAATTGGACTGCTAAATTATGTGTCTTTCGAAAAGAGACAGTAATTGTCCATTTCGCATTATGTAAGAAACGCCCACACAGCTAACGCAATGAGCGATACATCTTTGTTTCTGTAACGCAAACATTGCCTACATTTTAGTTTACAAATGTCAGATTAGCGATTACCTTATTCATTATTTCTTAAGGTAATTCAATATCTGCTTAGAGATCTGATTTTTTACTCTTATTGCTTGCTGTCTTTTACTTTATTTAAGTACGACTTAAAAAAACATTAAAATGAATAGGTCATCAGTGCATCAAAGCTGAATTTAAATAAAAAAACTGCGTAAACGTATAAGGTAATACGGACTAATACGAAGATAAAACTAGGAGTGGCACTACTTTAGGTATTGTTAACTCGTAAACGTCTCGAGTCGGGCCTGAATCATAATTGCGTAAAGTTTTAGGTAGACGTCTGCGGTTTGCTGCAAGGCTCGTGGATGTGGGTCTTAGTTAGCCAATGTGTGTGCAAATGTCGCTGTAAAATATCAAATGGCGACCCGTGACCCGTTCTTTGGAAATGGGAAGCCTTCTGTGTCAACATTTAATATCTGAAGTGATGATTCCAAATTTATCGCCCACGATGATTTGATAATGAACCAATGTCATATTAACGCAACGTGTTGAGTTATGTTACAGTTACGATTATATAATTATCTGTAGATATTCACTGAAATGGCATAGGTTTTTATATTTAAATAAAGAGCTATGGCGTCGCTTACTTGAAGTGTATTAATCAAACGTTTTATGTCCTTCGGGAGGGTTGTACCTTGTACTGTAGTTACTTTTTAAACATTTTTACTCACAATTGAATACTGATAAAATTGCTGTAGATGTTCAAAACACTACCTTATCTCTGGATTCAACAAGTACCACGCTTAACATGTTGGCGGATTATTCCTTTGAGCTTAGTGTATAGGACACAGAGGTATTATAGAACAATACGAATCTGACATGTAAGTTCTTGATATACATAATAATACATAATATTATTATTCTAAGAGCAGTTACACACGGTGCTCAAGTCGTATGCCAAGAACTTGTTTATGCGGTTAGGTCGTTGACTTTCTGTAGAGTTATAATAATAGTAGTGTCATTGTTGAATCGCGGCGCAGTTATTTATGCTACGGTGCCTGAAAGCTCCCCAATAACTACAATTTATTCATCAGATTTGCTTGATCGTTCTTAGTTCGCAACTTTGTTTAGTTATTCATACCTTTTATTGGGTTGACTTTGATGTCTTAAGTAATCTAATCTGAATGTTACATCGATGTTAGTCCGTGAACTGTGTCTTGATCATAATTTAATATTTAAAATTGATGTAGTCATTTTATTTATTTTATCATCATGCCTATGTTTTAATGAACAAATAACCTAATTATGAGTATGTTAATAGTCAATTTGAAATTATGAATATGTTACTTTTGAATAATTAGAAAAATACCTAATAATATATCTTTAATATGCCTTATAATAATATTACACATTTTTTTTCTATCTATGATTTATAAAGTACCCTTTCAATGGCCTGAGTACAGGCGGCCGAAAGTAACTTACAAATAGGTACATTTGTAATAAAAGGATATTCTATTGCTACCGGCAATAGCGTTGATGACGTCGACTCTTTTCTCTGACTTCGTATATTTTTGTTATAAACTCGTTTCTGCCTCTTGTCACCACTCCCTTTCCCTTGCACCTTGCACCTACCGACTATTACTTTTTCCAAAATTTAGACAACTTTTTAGTGGGTAAAAAATTCAATTCCCGAGAGGCAGTACAAAACGACTTTGAAGAGTTTGTTGCTTCCCGTCCAGCTGATTTTTACAAGAAGGGCATCAATAAACTGCCCATGCGTTGGCAAAGATGCGTCGATTGCATGGGTGATTACTTCGAATAACAGAAATAAAAACAGTTTGAAAAAATAAGTACTTTCACTTATTGAATACAAAACGGCAATTTCATAGGTAAAGACCTATTATTTCCTCATATAATGTGGTTTAAATTGTACTATATCAATATTTATCAAGGCACTGTAAATTTTCTCATAAATTTTACGAATAAAGTCATAGCAATAATATTCATAAATTAAAGTTCTGTACGAAGAATGACAATAATAATATGTAATAACTTTACATATTTCACACACGGCAGTCTTATCCCAAACTAGCCAGAACCAATAGAAAATAATAACCAGATGGCTGATAAACATACATAAATATTTCTAAGTACATATGTATTCCAAAATAAATTACACCCAGACACTGAGCAAATGATCGTACTTAACGCATCCATCGAACCCATGACCTCCAGTTAAGCCGTCAGGGTCACTGACTACAAGACCATCAGGCCAGTCATGATGCTCTTGTTATTACACTCACTTGGCCAAAAATCATATTCTGTACTTATTATAATACATTATTATTTAATTATAATTACAGGGAGATCATCTGCCAACACCTCCACCAATCCCACCCGCAATCGCAAAAGCTTTGGAATATTTGAAAAGTTTACCTCCTAGCAACAATGAAGGCGCATCTTCCAATGTTCAACCACAGTTTCAAGCCGCACCTTTCAAAGCCAGGCCCAGATTTTAAAATAAGAGACTACATACATTAATATGTATATTATTATTCGAAATTAACAATTAAAGTGTGATTTACACATTATCATACTCTTTTTGTAAATATAGACTTGTAATCTATTGTAGAGCAGACTTTGAAATATAAAATTATTACATACTCAGTAGATATGATTTATGTAAAACTGTTTTTTTTTTTAACTTTTAAAGTACTCATTTTTTATTATTATTTTTTATTTTTATATTTGCAGCAAAGTAACGTGTAAACATGTATAACTTACGTATTATGTTATGTACCGTATTAAGAAGAATAAACTTTTTCAAAGTATGTTAACAGACCTAGTCATTTTGTTATAATAAAAATATAAATCTGATCCCCTTTATGCCTCGTATGTGATACTGTTAGATTATAAAATACGACACAATTGGCACTCCCCTGTGATTATGTCGGACTCGAACCGACCAAAAACCGCACGCCGTCTCCAGGTTCGGGCCTGACGAGCCGGTTTCGCTCCGCCATCTGCTTCGCAAGCATAACCTGCTCGCGGAGTTCCACGCACTCGCTCCGCACCATGGCCGCAATCATGTTACCGTGCGAGAGATCTCCCACCCCGATGGCCGCCACGCCGGGCATTCTGCTAGAGTGTGGAGCGCCGTGTCCACGGTCCGGCCATGGCAGTGGTGGCACCCAGGCGTTGGCTCCTTGCGGATCAGACACAGGTGATCCCCGAAGCAATCCTTTCCCAGTGATTACCTGCGTCAACCGGTATGAGAGGGTCCCGTGATCCAATCCTCCATAACGGGTCTTACCACCGCGATAACACAATTGGCACTCCCCTACTGTGCACTTTTCAAGCCACTTTTTGCCTCCCACAACCAATCTGTATAACAAGTTATCGTCTGCTGTATTTCCGGCGGCGGTGGTCGTATATTCTTGTATATTCTTCCTGTATGAAGAAAAGAAGACTAGTAGTATTTGTCTTCGACGTTTCCCAGAAAGTATCGCACGAGAATGTACCTACTATTATGTGATTTTTGTATGTATGAACCTACTGTAGATTTTTTATTCGTGTGGAAACCTTCTCACCGTCGGCCGTCATCCCACCGGGGTTTTCAGTATATCGGAATCAAACCAACTAAAACCACACAGTTTGACACTCTGCGCCTCAAATAGGAGGGATCCCTGATCAACTCTTATTAAGACCTTTCTAGGTAGTGTAGATACTTTAAGGTTTCAGCTTAGTAATATCTGGACTACTTGTTACACATAATTTACTTGTTGTTGTGATTTTTAAAAAATATTACAAACATAGACACAAGAAACACCCAGATTCAGGACTACAATTTGTGGATCATACAAAGTGATGTCCCATGTGGGGATCGAACTCACGACACTTAGTGTACCTGTACGCCATCCGTGTAGGCAAAGTTGTGAGTGGGATATTACTTTAATTGTATCAGTGGTTTTTTTGTTCGATGTGACTTGAGTGTAGCAATTTAACTGACATTAAGACAATAATAATTAACCTTGACATGCACCTATATACATTACTTGTTATTAATTTGAAACGAAAAGAGACCAACAAACCGGTTTTTATTTTATGAGTCTTCATTTTGATTATAGGTTTTGTTTTGGATCTTTCTTAACGGAGTACGACACGGAGTAACAAAATAATACAATTTAATAAATTATATAGCTTTTAAGTTAAAGTAAAGCTGTTCTTAGATTTATAACACTCGTAGATACATGTATATATTGGTATATACTTAGGTATTTAGTAGTCAAACTCAATATTATTGTTATACTCATATCGTGTCGTTTTTTCGCAACAATACCACGCATTACTACTTTCATCAAATGGTTTGGATTTGCAACCTACAAAACGAGTTTCGCGAAGTTCATAACATGATAACCGTATTATTATTTCTTTAGTACTAATACAATATATTCTAGAAAGTACACTGAAATAAAAAAGTGAAGTTTTTTTATGCTTTCTTGTCTTTAACACTGATTTGAGTGTAGACTAACGTAATTCTTTTGAGGAAAGGGTTATTGTTCTAAACCAATTTATTTATGAGATAGTGTGATTTATCCAGTAGTGATGTTCAATATGTAGTGTAACATAACATGTAGTATAACAATAATATTAAGGACCTAAATGTAGGTTTTTATAGTAATTTACCAGCTATGAGTATTTTTCACAGATTTATCGTTTAAAAATGAATATTCAATAAATGCATTGCGCTTAAATTATACATGCAGCACGCATGTATACATACAGTATTGTAAAACTTTTTTTTTTATCTAAAATTCATAATATCAATAATGTGTTATGCCATTGGTGTAATAAATTTAAATAACATTTCGGTGGCATACTGATTTAAATATGGCAACATTTAATCAATCTAATTTGGAAATATTGATTAATCAAAAATTTTGATATTTCTCCTAGCTACCGACGACGAATGTGGGTGCAATCTACAATGTCGACATATTGGCATCAGAATTAAAAGGTTTTGTTAACGCATTTGCTTATCTCGGTGACCTTGTTTAAATTTCTTAACTGATACACATTAGTTACTGTTAAGTAACAGATACAAACATTACTAGAATAACTAGATATAAGGATAATTAAACACACAAAGTGAAGCAACATCCGTAATGAGTAATAACGCAATTAGTAAATTTCATCTTTAATATTTGTCAAGTAAAAATACCGGTAAATTGAGAAACATGAATACATTCATGTGTCTCAATTTACCGTTATTTATACGAATTGATAAGAATTTAATTTTAAGGTTGTTGGTATTTATAGCTCAGGTTTAATTTTAAGTACCATCCACACACAAATTGTAAAAAGTAATTTGTAAGTCCAATCAGTAGATCAAAACGGCTTGATTGGTCCATACCGAAATTATGATATAAACCAACAAATTAAAACATAATAAATGATGGTAGAAATTCTGTCGTCTAAAATACCAGTCTGTTGTCTAAAATAAAAAAAATACCATTTTTTTTTTTTTTTTTTTTTTTTTATCATCCACCTACTTAACATGATAATAATGGTTATTTTGATTACAAAATGTTACTAACTTGTCAAAACTTTTAAACTAAGTACTCGTACAGCTGACCAGCGATGGAGACAACAGTATTTCAATCAACCTTTGTTTATGGTTAGAGGGTGTTATACGAAGCTTGCTTCAAACAAAGAACATCCTCATAACTTTAACTGTGAGCTATAAGTGTATTTTACGAATGAATACAAAAATTAAAAGTTTAAATATTTTACTGTTAGCATGCAAAAAAAAACGAACAACAGAGAATAAGGGCATTATGGATAAAGAATAAAAATTTAATGTAATTATTATTTTCTTCATGTCTCCTGTTGAGATAATAGTTTATATTAATATGTTCACATTATAAACTTGAAGCTTATAAGTTCTATACAAAGTGCCGTGACCTTAACTTCTAAAGGAAGATTTCTTCTCATAAGGCTCAACCCCTTGGAAACGGGCGGTTGTAGATCGGCACAGGCATATCATAGATTTTGTATGGGTTTGATTTTTGTTTAATTTATTTGCTTACTATTTGAGAAAACAGAGATTGTTGCTTTTGTGTGTGTACGACTACGACTACGACTTTAGAGTCTACATAAAAGACGATTTCAAACAATTTTGAAAATTTTGTCAAATAGAGTTTGTGTTTGAGTTTGATTGTACACAATGCATACTCATATCTTCATTGTATATTTATATTTAAGTTTAATATACAATATAGCTGCCAACATACAGCTACGTATATGAGCAATAGCTAGGTGAAATCTTAAGGCTGCAGGTCTACTACTACTGCTACCTTGTCATCTTGCCAAGTATTATTAAGATTTCATAAAATTATGTGGAAGTTAACAAATGTTTATAGGATGACATTATGCTTGATTGCATGTATGAAGAGACCGTTTATCTTCTTGAACGTAATAATGATCTTGATAAATACTAAATATTATGTTAAATATATTTGCTTTTTTAAAACCTACTTATGCCTGAATGTATTGTATCCTATTCTGAGACAAGTTAATCGATAAAATTATATATTATTTGAATATTTTTTTTTCTTCATTTCGGATTTTGAAGTAAATCTATACTTCATAAATTACCAATAATTGTATATATATATATATTCGACTTAGGTGTAAGGATAAATGTAACAGCAGTCAGAAAAACCAATAAATAAGTAGGGTAAGATTGATTGAATCATTTAAATGCGAATAATAAATAAAATAAAAAATAATTAGAAAGTACTTTTCATTTGTTCAGTGTCTTCAAAACTTTACCTCATAACCAGTTTAGAACTGGTACACCTAAGTAAGTATTGTATATGTGCAGTTAAATTAAAACTTATTTAAACTGATACTAACCTAGATTAGTAGTATTTTCTATTTTTTTACTGAGAAGTGATATCGGTAGCTAATGTTAAATGAACTTACAAATTTATTTCACGTAGTACTTTGACATTGATAGAGTGACTTAATAAATATGTTTACAATCCTTTTGTTAGATATTGAATCTTAGAGATGAATAAGTGCATAGCAATGTATATTCTTTATGAGTTCCTAATTTAACATAAAAGAATATAAAATGTCAGGGCCAACATTGGATTGTTGTACAAAAGTCCTGTCCATCAAATGTCATAATAAACGCCATAACAGCAAGTGAAGCACTTAATAATAAGAAAAACAATTACAGATACGGGTATAACCAGGAACATGACTAAGTGTAATAATTTTGAAATCTTATTATCGTGTAATACGAGTACCATCACCGCTTCGAAATTGCAGTAAAGTAGAAGTTCAGGTAGTCGTTACTATTTGTATAAAAGTACCAACCGAATAAAAGTAAACATTGTTGCAAGTGTAGGTTACTGGATAATACTACACTTTATTCATACTACAAGTGTCCGTAACCATTAAAAGTCTGAATAAATATTTCTTTGTAATGTAATATTGTTACATTTGTAAT